AACACTATTCCCTGGTTTGAGCTCTTCAATCAAGGTTCACAGCGGGTTTGCAAACGAACATACCAAGTGAGTGATTTCGGAGTACCAATTGTTGGGCTCATGCAAGATGTGTAGGACTGCGACACTGGTTCTTGCAGCTGTCCAAAAGGGATTGTCTCAATTCGATGTGAAGAAAGTGACTTTGGTTAGTGATGGTCCTCATACACGTTCAACATTTCTCACACTCCGTTTGATATACAGGTTGGCCACAGCCTAGGTTGTTTGCTAACGAGGATTTTAACTCTAAAATTAACTGGCGCAAACATAGGCGCTGCCCTCAGCCTTATCGAATCCGTTTATCTTCCTCTCCACATTGCTGGAGTGACCTTCCGCACCATTGTCTATGGTATGCCTCGGGTGAGTTATATGTATCTCAAAAATCATGATGATTGGCTCAAACTATTGAGTCTAGGTGGGAAATCAAGCATTTGCAGACCATGCAAGCGTCGGGAACACGGTGACCCATATTAACAACAAGTTCGAATCCTTGTTGCTATCCCCAAATAATGGTCTGATCTTTTCGTTCAGAGAGGATCTTGTACCTATTCTGCCAGGCTCGTTTTCAACCATTTGAACGTTGGATTTTACCTTATTCTCATGATTCTAGGAAGGTTCCTTGGTTTCCACCATCCGACTGGGGAAATCCATATCCAGGTCCGTATCCGCAACGTGGTTTGCAACATTGTATGCTTGACATGCTGGCAGGACTCGGGCGTTTGGGATACTTGTCCAGGTACACATACCCACTTCCAGACGTCAAATTAATTTCCTTGTTGACCCTTTTTCCTTGTAGGGGAGGACAACACAAACGATTTGTGCACCACGGGGGACGTCTCGAATATTTTTGAGGGCGAGACAGGCGACCACGTTGGTAAGTTCTTCTTGTATGACTTTACATTACGAAATTAATGCATCAGTTCACAAGGTCCTTATGATGGCGTGCGGATGACATGCGGATAGGAGCGAGAGTCCATGAATACATTGGATATCCCTGAATGGAGGAGGACGTGTACTAACGGATGTTCATAACAAAGTCATTTGTGCTGCCACAATGGATTTCGCATTCTTCGTGCCTAGAATATTTTATCATGCAGAAGACAAGCAGAGGAGAAGCTCGATCTTCGCATTTCTGGTGTCCCAGTTAGATATGTCGAATGTGTCGACATTCGACTGGATGTCAGACATGTTCGGAAACACTGGAGGGAATTGCTGTTCTTCTATATTGAGCAGGATTGAAATGAGCGGATCTTGGATGAAGCTCATCATCTTCAGTAGCTTAGGCCCTGTTCGGGATCCCAATCTACACTCCATTATCTAAATATTTGATAATGTAATTAGCATGTACACATCGGGATACCCTCTGGAAATCGGTGTTCCTGAGCGGGACCGTGCCGTGTAATACTACCTACCTACCATCTATCAAATACTTTGGCAGTCACCATCAGTCACTCGAGGTCTAGACCACATTCCACGGAATCAACCGGATGATTGACAGATCCTCTCATCGTCGACGGCGGTCCTGCCGTTCCAAATACTGAAGTATTTTCTTTGACTAACTGTGGTCCGTTGATTGAATTAACTGCAGATTAATTTTAAATGTACTTCAGATGACAGGCAAAGAGTGTGCCCTTGAAAATGATCCCAATAATGAGATAAGTCTTGTTGTCATTGGTGGCGGGAATACCGACGCTAGCGGGACAGCGATCAGGGTGTTCGGGTATTCATATCAATTGTTCTCACACCCATTCCGTACCAGTGCCGTCACGTGTGACCTGATATGATGGAGTAGCTAGCTGGGAGATACTGTACTATTTCATTCAATTCGGCAGTGGGTGTTACACATTACGGCCCCATCCGAATTTTGGAATTCAGACAGACGGGTACAGCGGTGTTACACCCAAACAAAATTCGCACAGGGCGCAGACAAGCCCTTAGAAGCCTCTGGTTGTTCAGGCACTTGACTCACAGTTGAGGTCCTATGATAGTGGGGGAGAGCAGGGCTGATGTGAAGGGCAAGAGAAGGAAGATATCCATCCTAAAGCTAGTCTCTTGTAGACAGACACTCTATACTAACCAAGCTTGTACCTCGCTGTATAGATTCTAAAGCGGCAGCCACCTTCACCATCACGCGGCAACCCTTGGCCGCATTTGACATTTGACAGTGGTACTTGGTAATTGAGGTGCAAAACTTGGCCAAAAAAAATTGGTCAGGGTGTCAACTGGCGAACGGGGAGCGAAAAAATTTGAATTTAGGCCATTTTCAACCAATTTCGAGCATTTCGGTGTTACGTTTTGAAATTTTGTCGACCCCAGCCGTTATGCGTTACATGTCCGAAAATATTCGGACGAAAAGGCCAGCATCACGTGTTACGTCTGAATTGAATGAAATAGTACAGTAATGGAGTGTAAATTGGAATCCTGAACAGGGCCTTACTATGTGCCTCAAGTGCTACCCTGTGGAAAATACAAGTACAACATTATAGTGGTACAAGACTACGTAGTTTAAACCACAGACTTAGCCGAGTGGCTTGGCCAAATGGTTTGCACCGCTTAGCGGAGTTTGAAATGGCTGTGGCAGGCGGGTGCGGCGTGGCTTGTGGCGTGGCTTGGCCTGTGCTCGGCTACAGTATAAATTCTCACTGTAGGAATTTCCCCAATTTCTTCGCATTTTTTGCCTGCCATTCTCCCTCTCCTTCAAGGTTGTGTTCACATCCTGATCAACGGCCTCGGCTGCTGTGGCCATTCTTGACTGTTGTTTAACTGGGTGTCAACATCCCCAAACAAGCCGGTGCATTCAACAACTCGAGATCTGTACAACAACATGCCAATCAACCCCCGCCGCCTGTGTTAATGGCGCATGACCCCATCATACCATGTCCCTGATATGGTATTTCTTCTTGTCCTTTCCTAGTCATTGAACAGAGCATGATGTAGCAGGGTCAATTCCATTATATCTTGATGGTCACCTTGATTGAATTTCTGGACAGTCTGAAATTAAAGGCCAGTCACCCTTCACAGTTAATGAATGTCCCACAGTTCAAGCTGAATCTCTTACCACATTTCACACTTGACTCAATGCCAGGAAACAGGTATTGAAATACAGTATCAACACCCAAATCCGAAAAATGCTCAGATCTGAAAAAAAAAAAATGAATTCTGAGCTGGAACCTCTGGGGTTTCCAGCTTGATTATTTTTTGTGGAATAATTACAAGGCCAGTGAGTAATTTTATGCAAAGAAAATCAGCATGGGGCCAGTTGGGCGCAAACAAAAAATCAAACAATTGCCAAAAATGGCTAAATTTCATTGTTGGCAATGCACGGCTTCTTTAGCGTGTTCATAAGTGGATTCAAGTTGTTTGGCCCATCGGGCTCCCTGGGCATTTGTCCCATGAGGACAGCCCAGAGGGTTGCCTGTGGGAGGCATGTACGAGAGCATGGCTACAATAGAGTGAGTGAAATGATGTCTGTGATCTCACATCACCAAGATTTTCGGATCCGGGTCAAACCCCAAAACCGGCCAGATAAGTTATGGTGCTGCACAACACAACAATGGGGCCAAAAAAGCTGAAAATATTTGTGCATAGATTTTCAGAAGTGGGTGAAATATATGGGGCAAATCTGTTTTGGACAACCTCATCAGTGAGAATCCAGTATTTTAGCTATATGCCGCCCACACACCCACTTTAATTGCATCAGGCAGAATGGTTTGTGCAAGCCGCTTCTTTCATGATGAAGAAAAATGCTCCCACAGAAATCACTGCACTCACAGTGACTCTGGACCATCGGAATACATATGTTATTGCCCAGTTCATGGACCAATTAGTTATGTCTAGCAATTTTGCATGTTCAACTTGATTACTCAGACAGAACCCACGGGCATTGAAGGCCTGAACATACTGAGGCAGGGCCTCTCGAATGTGTTACTTCATAGGAACTTATCCCACAAGAAAATCCAAGAAGATTCCAACCAATGTCGTGAAAACATCTATGTGGTTGGAAAATGAACCAAGTTCAATACAGGTGGTGGGGATTTCTTTGACTTGTGGAAATTTCTCGGGGTACTTCTTACGTTGATGGACACTCTGGAGAAGGATATATCAATGGGACTTCACAAGCCCGCCGGCTTGCATGCTGGGATCAACTGAGTTCATTGTTAGTGACAATGATTACAGGTATTTCCGGGAATAGATAAATTTCACGAAAGTTGTTGTGCTATGGTCCTTCTGGTGATGCATAGGAGTGCATATATAATAGCAGCTACAGCATCGAGGACCTACAGGATGTGCGGGAAACGCAAGCCACATCCCCATTCTGGCTGATGCCAAGCTGGCAGAATGGTTTGCCAAGCCGACAAAACAGCTTGCAAGGCATTCTGTCAGGCATGGGCAGGTGATGCCAGCCAAATCCACGCCCCCACCCAAAACAAGCCATTTGGCACGGGTGCAAGCCACTTTGGCATGCCAAAAAGTGAATACTCAAGAAACTCGGCCCAGCCATCTGAGCATGAGCAACACTGACCTACGCAGATACTGTGCATAGTCATTGAGATATGGTCCGTGTAGCCGACCAAACTGAACACTCCAGGGCGGCACTGACCTGGAGACTCAGAGATTGAGACTCTGTCCTGGTGTCAAATGGCACCTGGTGTCCCATATCCAAGAGCTATATCAGCTGTAGCAATGGACAATGGATCTCATCTTCTATATGATTATAAAGTGTTCAGGAACACATTACATTACATCTTTAGGTTCAACCACGAGCATCCTCCTATCCATGACAGGTGCATTATTGGGTCCAATTTTTCACGGACATCTCATACAGTGTGGTCTCCTCTTTATCATCAGCCCTGCGCATGGGTTCAATCTAGATGTCAGACACATATGCCCCGTACCAAAGGTTAAAATTATTTGACTTATTTGACCTCCTGCTTAGATGGCCCATTGGAAACACTCCTTCCATCGGTTCGATGGTGTAGTTGGTTATCACTTCTGTCTAACACGAAACTTACGTGTCTCACAGGCGGTCCTCAGTTCGAACCTGGGTCGAATCATTTTTGCCTCGCTTCCCTCCCCCGCGATTATCGCGATTTGATTATCTCGGGCAAATCAGCGCAGTGGTCTTTATTGAAGAGCCGGGAGCAATTGCGGGTTCCCACCATCCTTGAAGAGGGTTAGACTCAGCGTCTCCGTTCCGTTCTCGACCGCACAGAGAGGAAGGTTTTGATGGGCCGTTCCCGATTGGGTCAATATCCGTTGTTGGCGTTGAATTCCATTTTGGGACAGGGGCTGCAAACGTCACAATTATGCGCTCAACAGCTGGAGCTACTGGAACAAACACAGTTCAACCGGCAAAAAATGCTTATTTCTGTTCTTATTCATGAGTCGGCGAAGTTGTGTGATGAGATGTAATGGCGGTGCCTTGTGCTTCGAAGATTGGATTTCTACCAATCATCACTCTTGCCTTCTTTAAACCTGTTTCGGCTGTCTCCGCGCGCACAGCAGGTTCGACGGTGAGTTCGGCGCGGGCTCACTTACCTCCATCTCCGAATCAGTGAATGTGTTTGCTGTCGCGATGCTTCTTCAGTGGGTCCAGGTTTTGGCACACCATTATAACCCTGGAATTAACAGATACGACACTATGACAGCGTACTCCACTTAAACTTCCCGGAATTCGCGTTTTTGGGTGTCCTCGAGCCCGCAGGATGTTTGGCGGTGAGTTCTCGACTCAGATGTGAAGTAATAAACACATCATTTTCTAGAAGCTAGAACTGGACCCTCAATTAATTTTCAACCGGGCGATATCTGGATGTATTGGCTGTCGCGTCGCTTCTTCAGTGGACCCACTTTGACTCCTTTCGCACGACATATCATTCAATCTCATTCAGTCCAGAACGAAAACTTTCGGCACATGGTTGCAACCTTGGACCGTCACATGCCCGAATTCGCGCCCCAGTGGTTCTCCTTCTTGATGCTGAGGGCGGCCCAGTGACAATCACGGATTCCCTTCGGACTGCCGAAATACAACAGAATCTGAGGATACTTGCACCGCGCCAGTAACTGGTGGGCGAACAGGATGTGACGGTCATATCGTTTCGGATGAGCCGTCTTGAGTGGGTCCAATGTGCCCTAGCGATAGAGCCGGGTTCCACCGACAACCAAACCAGATCCCAACACTAGGAACCACATCATGCGTACGGCATGGTGGGCGCCTCCAAACTCAAGCGCAGGATCGTTTATTATTCCTGTTCCTCTGCCCTTCAGCACCGAATCCACCCACTCCGAATGTCAACCTCCCTCGATTCAACCAACGGTGTTTGGCTGGTTTCTCTCCTTCTCGAGACGCTGCTCTACGGCATTGGTGTTCTTCAGACATGGATCTATATTGCTAGTCGCCCCACCGATGTGGCCCCCGTAAAGTGGACGGTACACAAAAACCACGTTTCAATGTCTTTAAAATACTCAGAGGTCAACAGGTCCTTGTTGTCTTGTGCGGCTTTTGTTCCTTTGACCGTCTTGCGTCTAAAATATTGATAGAGCATTGGAAACAATTCAAGTCGTCTTATTTTTCCATTCGTCTTACCTTCGGTTCGTGGAACGTTTCGGGCAGATCCAACTCGATCTCATCTGGTGAGCAATACTCTTGGGCTCACACTCCGCTTCCGTTTTGACGAGATCTGTACCAGGGCCGATTCGGTATCGGGTCATTTCTCTTCACGATTTCCAACGCTAACAGTATCTTGTAGTTGCAACTCCCTGCTGCCGTATGTTACCACGCTCTCTCTATGCTCTAGTCATTGCTCATTTCGTCCACAGTATCTTTCCGCATTCATTGTTCAACTGTAATGCTACATCGCCTGTTTGCTCATTCGGGATAGATGTTTTGCAGGTCGCATCCATAAACGTGAATGAACTCCGGCGCAGCGTCCCCCAGTAACCCAAGCGCGGATAAATTTCAGCCTTTCTGCTATCGGCATATACGCTATTGTATGCTGAATGCATCGACTAGCCTCTATCGATCTCATTTCCCCCACTTTGACAGCTTCTGTTGGCTGTTGTGCAGATTGGTTCGTTACTTTCTCGTTCCATTCAAGGCATTGCCAATGTGTGTTCATTTCTTAGTCGCGGGGATAGTCCAGACTATATTGTCGTACGTTATGTTCGCCCTTTCATCGCGTTTACTGAACTATATCTTCGGGTACGAGCTGTGATCCTTCCTCAAGCTCGATGAAACCAAGGCACGAACTTGGACTTATCTTTCCCTCAATCTGGCCATCGCTACCCTTCAATCTGCGGGGTCCCTTGCCTACGACCTCTTGATCACCACCCATCTCTGTCGCTTCCTCAACACACAGAAGGGGGAAATGATGAAGTAAGTTACCTGAGGCAAAGAATAGCCCTAATGGTAGAACACTAGAATCAATTTCCTGGTGGATCTTCAAGTTTCTCACCAACAACTTGTTGGACACGCAACTCATCCGAGTCAGTGAGCATATTTCTTACTTGAAAATATTTAAAGACGCATCCCAGAGTGTGCAGCGACACTCGAGATATATATATATATATATATATTTGATTACGTAACAACCTCGACCTCCGATCAAGGATCAATGGCAGACTCCAACACAACGAGGTACGAGTTAAATTGTTGTCGCGTCTGTTTATAAGAGACTAGGTGTCTCGTATTATTACATTTGGTATCTTATCCTAGTCCTACACAGATGGCCATTATCTATCTTTTCTAGCCCATACCTAACTATGTTCGCCTTTCCGTTAATTTGTTCGTAAATGAATTGAATATAATTTTCTTTGACGTAAGACAGTTTAGCCTTGAGCTTATTGCATTAATATTTGAAATCCACCGGAGCCTGAATTCTAAATATACAGTCCAGCTACAGGGAACTACGTAAATGGCCCAAAACTACAGGCAACTACCCGTAACTACGGCAACTACGGCAAAAATCGGATTTTGCTGCACCTTAGTGTGGGGGTGTGATGTATCAGCCACCGCTAATGAGCGGTCGGACCATGATACATAAAAACCGCTAGTGTAGCGGAGGTTTTTATGTATCACTCCAGCGATGGTCTGGGATTAATAATTAAATCTGCCGCATCGAGCACCAGCTTTCGTCGCTGTACCCCACGGCGCCCAAGATTCCTCGAGGATGCCATCAGATCACTTCCTTTTTAGGAAAGCCTCTCGACGTCGTTGGCAACGATGAAGAGCTTGTGTATTCAAAAAAAACGCAAAAAATACAAAAAAAAAGGAGCATATGTGTGGCGAGTATGCACGCGTAGGAGCCAACGCTAAGATCACATCTCCAATACTTCGTCTACATAAGTGGTCTTGATCTCCCGCTGAGGCAGCGTACCGATTGCCGCTTCCTCCTCGTCGCTCTCTTCCTCGTCACTGTCGTCCTGATTCTCTGCCGCTGTAAGCTCCACAGCTCCATCTTCCAGCTCCCCCCTCCTTCCCTTCGCTACCAAGTCAGGCAGCGACTTCCAGTCATCAGCAAAGCCGGCTGCAAGCTGCGTCTGGATCGCCGCCTGGCGAAGGGCGAACGCCGTTTCCCCCTCCAGCTGCGCGTCAGCCAGCGCTGGTCTCCGTCCCACCTGCCCCTTCCACCACTCTGCGCGCCACGCGAGATATGTCCGCACTCGAGCCATCTCGGCCTCGAGTAGATCTACCTCCTCGCGCCATCGGTGGCAGCGCGCGCGGACCTTTGCCCATTCGATGCGAACGGCTGGCGGTAGAGATCAGCCGGTGGTGTAGTCTTCTAATTGCGTGCTTACCTTCATGCATCGCGGCGCCGTCCCCCGGATTGTATCGCGCTCCTTGGGTTACCCAAATCCACGACGTCTCCCGCTCGACCCTCTGCTTCTTTCTCCGCTTGCCCTTCGTCTTCTTCTTCCGCTCTGGGTCGTGGAACGTTGCTTGAGGCAGCCCTCGGACGTCGTCGGACTTGAGCTCCAACAGCGTCTTCTTCCACTCGTCCCGCCTCAGCACACCACCCAGTCCGACTAAGGCGAGACGCGCAGCGCGGGTACTGATCCGCTGCTCTCCGGACCTGCCCGTTTAGAGCGGCAATCTTGTCCTGGGAGCGCATATTGGCTCGGACCCCTCTCGAGTGCGTGTCTTTGAGCTTATACACATGGGTCCGGACCAGCAGCAGGCGGCGCACTTCGTGCAGTGCCTCCTCGGCCTGACCCACGCGCAGCCTGTACTCGTGCTCGAACGAGGGAAGCCACAGCTTCATCTCCGAGACAGCGACCCCTGGAACCGCGTCCATCGCAGAGATCTGGGCGCGCGCTTCGTCCTCGAGCTCGCGCACATTCTTGAGGCCGGGGAAAAAGCGCGTTGAATGTCGATCCAGGTCACTATCTTCCGGCGTAATTTGCTGGTGCGCTCCACCATCATCAGCAGAATGACAAGTTACCTTTTTGGGACTTTTGATCCTTTTTTAAGGACAAAAAGCCGGAAAAGGTGAAAAGGACTTTGCCCTTTTAAAAGCTAAGTCCCTTACCTTTTTCAAGGGAAAAAGGAGCCAAAAAGACGTCTGAAAAGATTCATAAGGATTGAGGAAAGGTGTCTCAAAAGTAACTTAAATGTAGCTTTATCGCACAAAAAGAAGAATTCATTGGGGCTACTAATAATACTATGCTACTTTACTACGAAGGATACAGCACCGAAATCAATGTCGATGGCTTCAATAACAGCAACAGACCACATGAGCCGCTTGCAATGAGTGGGCAGCATTGGGCGCCGACGTCGCGTGGCTGGTCCGTACAGCGGCGGGGGGCTACGCACTGCGATGGCGGCGAGTGTGCTGATCTCGGGCTCGGATGCGGACGTGGTACGTGTTGCTTCGCCGTCGCAGGTGCCGGGCGGGACAAGGGGTGCCGGACAGCGATGCGCAGCAGGATCGATGAGCGGCAGGTGAGTCCGTGTAGTGGCTTGAGGGTACGCGCTCAGGTGACGGCAAGCATGCTGGTCTCGGACTCGGGCGCGGAGCAGAGTGTTGAGCGGCGGCGTTTGGCGCTAACGCCGTGGGGT